TTAATATGTCACCTAAGCTATCACCTCCTCGCAGCCAAGAGCACATTATAGTGCTCCAAACCGCTACAAACCGTGTACAACCTTACTGTTACCCGCATGCTCAAAAGGATGAGATTGAGAAATTAGTGCACGAGATGTTGGAAGTGGGTGTGATCCAGCCAAGTGCGAGTCCGTTCTCTAGCCCAGTTTTATTAGTGAAGAAAAAAGATGGTAGTTGGCGTTTTTGTGTTTATTATCGCGCCTGAACAAAGTTACTGTTTTGGATAAATTTCCAATCCTGGTAATCTTTGAACTCTTAGATGAACTTCATGTAGCGGTCATATTCACAAAGTTGGATCTCAAGACGGGTTACCATTAGATCCAGAAGAAATTAGAAGACGTGCCAAAAACAGCATTCTGGACCCACGAAGGTCACTGAGAGTTCCTAGTCATGCCCTTCGGCTTCACTAACGCCCCCAACAACTTTCGGTCATTCATGAATAAAGTATTCCAACCTTTCTTGTGGCGCTTTGTATTGCTGTTTTTCGATGATATCTTAATTTATGGTAAAACCGAGATAGAACATGGACAACATCTACGACAAGTATTCAACTTATTGCGTGCAAATAGCTTGTATGAAAATAGAAAAAAAAAATGTTCTTTTGCACAATGACGGGTGAAGTATTTAGGCCATATTGTATCTAGGGAGAGAGTATGTACTGACCCGGCCAAGATTACTGAGATGATGGATTGGCTGATCCCCAAAACAATGCAGGAACTGCATGGATTTTTAGGGTTTACTGGCTATTACTGAAAGTTTGTAGGCGGTATGGGAAATAGCGTGGCCACTAACCAAACAGTGTAAGAAAGACAATTTTGTTGGACCCCAGAGGCCATAGAAGCTTTCCGTAAATTACAATTAGCTATGACTCGAGTACCAGTTCTCGTACTGTCGGATTTTACTAAAGTTTTTGAAGTAGAGACCGACGTGTCGGGGTATGGTGTAGGTGCGGTTTTGATGTAGGGAAATCAACCCCTAGCCTTCTTTATCCATATTTTAGGAAGTCGTGCAAGACTCAAGTCGGTTTATGAGCGGGAGATAATGGCAGTGGTAATGGCCATCCAAAAGTGGTGTCCTTATCTAATAGGATGTAAGTTAGGATTGCTAGAAAGATATTATAAATATGGTAGTCTCAGACTATTTTGGAGTATCCCGTGTTACTCGAATAATCACAGGTAAATTCTGGGTTCTTGCCTTCGGGTTTGGATCCACAGTCTTATCAAATTTTTATTGCAGTTTAAAAAAAAACATGTTTCTTAAAGTATGTAGGGGTTAAATGCAAGAAATAACAAATTAATTTTATTGATTTGTTTATTAATAATTATAATATCCTACTTTTTTTTCTTATTATCACAATACTTGATTTTGAAACATGTACTCAACTATATCAATGTCATCTAGATAAAGAGCAAATTTCATTACTATAGAGTCATATCGGAAGAAGGTCTTGTTGATCCATTCTCTAAACCAATGTCAGTGTCCATGTCTAGTGTCTATGTCTGATAGTCAAACATGGTAAAAAGGCAATATATTTGCAAATGAATTGGCTTCAACATATTTAGTTTACTTTGTTTTAGATTTGAGAACTTAAGGAGTATAAGTCTTTATATCATTTGGTGATTATTAAGTTGAGATTTTAATATACGATATAAATCAGTCATTTCATTAGCTTATCACGATGTTCTCCTTTTGTATGTTTGAAACCCACTTCCCGAGTATTAGTTTACTCAAACTTCCATAGTCGGTCATACTCTTAGAAGTAAGTAGTGCTTTAAGATTGTCAGAGTTTTAGTAAATTGTCTATACTATACTGATTAGACATAGCATGGAGACTGCGACTAACACTCATGAGTACTTAATGAAGATTTAAGTATTTGAACAACTCGCACTTATAGATTAATTCATGGATAAAGTCACATGTAATTCTAAGATGATAATATCTATTCTTCTTCAAACAAAGGTAGATAAGCCTTTTTCTTTACAAATCTATTATGCATTGGCCTTCTCCGACGATATCCGTAGTTGGTAGTAATAAAGGGTATGTCCATGTGTGACATGGTGAGTAGACAAAGACTAAGTAATCAAATTTTATTTGATCCTTTTTCCATAATAGGAGAAGCAATATATGCCCCCCTCGATGATTTGGTGCTGACATCTAAATTGTTTGGTCGAGCCCTGACTGAAATTGATGTGTTCAATTTAGTATCCAAATGTAGTCGTTACAAATCTTTATTGGAAAACATAATCTTAAATATTGAGATTGACCATTATCCACGTATGTGGTTCATATAGATACCTTGAAGAACAAATGAATAGTTGATCACTTATCTAAGGGTTGAATATTGATTTGATCAAAGTCAACAGTTGCTTTAGATACCATACTCTTTATTGACTATTTGAGACGTATTAGACCTTGTATTGTTGATGACTTTTCCAAATGGGTGACTATTGGAAAGAGTGTCTAAGATCACTAAACACTGGTAATATTTCTAATAATAGTAGGGTCCTTTTGCGTTGCCATCAACCCATCTGAGTAAAAAGAATTTAGGAGAAATTAGTTTAGTAATTTTTTATGGCTAGATAAATTAATTAGTAACTATTTGGAATTAATTGGGAATTAATTAATTCAAGAGGTTGAATATTAATTAATTAAACGTTAATAATTGGAATATTCCATAATCACTAAGGGTTATGGTAAGGGACGAAATTGGATAGGGTTTATCCATGGTTTTGTAGTTGCTTTGGGACTCAACAAGTGAAACGAATAAATAAGATGTTGAGGATCAAACCCTATCTTGTTCATTCTCTCAAAGAGAAATTTATTTCTCTCCCCCTTCTCCTTGAGGTGATCGAATTTCTTAACCCCTCAAGAGTAGTAGAAATTTCAATCTAGATTCACTCCTTAGTTTTTTTTTTTTTTTTTTTTTTTTTTTGCTCTTTGGTGTTCTCGGGTGTGAACCATTATAAGGATTTCAATTTGGGTGTTCATATCCAAGAAAGGTGGCAAGAACAATGTCTCAAGCAAGAAGATCATTGGCTTCTAAATAGGTATGTACTTTTTCTTATTTCCTTTAGTAATAGCAGTAATAGCATGAAACCTAGATCCTCTTGGTTGCATGAAAACATAGGAATTATTATTTGTTTTCGTTGTGCATAATTGTGTGTTTAGATGTAGAAAACCTATCAAGACGATATACAAAGGTTGAAATTTTTTTTGTTTTATAAAATCAAGTCTTTATAAAAACCTCCCACGTATATTATTTATAAAATCACAAGTGGATAAAAAACCTTACCTTCTTCTAAAAGGAAATGAAGATGATGGTGGGAGTGTTGTCCTCTGTTAGGATTTCGGTGTATTTTACTTTTTGTTGGTTTTAGGGTTCCTCTGTGAACCATATGCAAATTCAACTTCTGAAGTTCCGATCAAGAAAAGAGAGACGATGGGAAGCCAAAATCGAGTTGCGCCAATGTTTTGGATTTGGAATATGTCACCTTTCTTGATCATTTGATGAAGGAATTTAAATAAAATTTATAAAGTGATGGTGATCGGCTTGAGAGTGGTCGTCGACTAGAAATCGGAGGTTGGTAGTTGGTGTGACTAAGAGAGATGGGTAGTTATGGCTTTGTACATTTTCTTCGTGAGAGAAAAGTGGGATGAAGACGATGAGGGTGGTGATATTGTTATAGGGTTTGTGAAATTGATATGCCTAATTTAAAGGGTTATTATTTGAATTAGTTTTTTACCATAATTAATTTATAGATAAGATTACTATTATACCCTTATAAGAATTATTAATTACTTAATTATTCTTAAATTCTTATTGTGTCCTTATGTCCATACAATATTTATCCATCCACAAACGAACCTACCTATATATATATATATATATATATATATATATATATATATATATATATATATATATATATATATATATTACATGTCATTGTTGAAAGCCTTCACACACCTAACACACCCATGGTGTTACTGGCAAATTTATGATATCTGGGACTTTAAAACCCCTGCCAAATTACATTATATTTTGGAAAATAAGATGTCAAAAATAATCAGTAGATAAGAAATTGCACGTTTCTAGCTAGCTTTTTCTCAAATTTGCAAAGAACACCACCACCTTAACATAAATCCAATCTTTGAAGCTATCATAAAAATTAAAAAAAGCATGTCTCCCTCGACGGATGAGAAGTAAAGCGCCACAAGCTATCCAAAATCCAGTGGCAAAACCCATGCCCCCACCAATATAAAGCCATCCCCGAGATTCATCACCCTCGCTTTTACTAAGTACCGATGATGATTCTGATTCTCTATCTCCTTCTTTATCTCCTGGACATTTTTTAGTAAGAGGAGGTCCACATAGTCTTGTGTTTCCATCATATCTTGAAGGTTGAAAGGACTGTAGTTGAGTGCTCATTGGGATTCTCCCTGACAAGTTATTAAATGAAACGTCTAGATAATTCAATAAAGTCATCTGAGACATGATTGATGGTATATGCCCTGAAAAACTATTTCTGGATAAATCTAAAGTCAAAAGCTTTTTCATCTCACCAATTTTTTGTGGAATCTCTCCAGATAAAGCATTCTATGACAAGTTCATGGCAATTAAGTCATAAATATTGGTAATTTCATAGGGGATTTGTCTTATTAGTTTGTTGCTTGACAGGTCAATGCTCTTCACCAATTTCAGAGTGCTGAAGAATTCACGTTCATATCCTTGCCACTTAATCATAGCATGATCAACATATATCTCAATTTCATATGAATACTTAGTTTGAATTTTATAATGATCTAAACCTTGTGAGAATCCTTGTTGAACCATGCTTGTAAGATTACTCAAACATGAGGGGATGGTTCCATGGAGATTGTTCATTGACAAGTCTAAAATTTGAAGATTTGCTAATTGACATAATTCTAAAGGGATGGTTCTGAAGAAGTTATTTGATCTCAGGATAAGAACATACAACCTGATAAATTTTCCCCAATCCAGACAGGAACATTACGAGAAAACTTGTTGGCCCCCAAATTCAACGACTTTAGACTCGTGCAATTTTTTAATGACAAAGGCAATTCCCCAGAGAAGTCGTTCTCGTATAAATATAACACCTTGAGTTCTATCAAAGATCCAACAGAGGGAGGAATCCGTCCAAAGAGATTGTTGTGTCCAAGATTAAGAACTTCTAGGTGTTTGATATGCCATAAACAGTCCGGGAGTTGTCCGATTAATGAGTTATGAGAGAGGTCAAGAAATGATAAGAACCCATCAACAATTTGGCATATAAAGGAGATTCCTCCAGTGAAATTGTTTCTGGAAAGATTTAATGATGACAAACTGGAAGAAACATTTGGTATTGGACCAGAAAACCTGTTGGAACTCAAATCTATCTCTGAATCGTTGGCAAAATTTGATGATAAATCCGGTACTGTCCCGCTAATGTCATTGGATGAGAGATTCAGATTTCCTAAAAAAGAAGGCGACATGTCCCAAAACTCCAGAGGAGTTGTGTCTGAAATTCCTGTATTGGAAAGATCAAGACGGGTAACATTTTTGAGTTTCTGGATCCATTTGGGGAAGCGAGGTCCTACCAGCTTACAAGACCTCAGATCAACAAGTTGTAAATTTGAAAGGTTTGACAAGTGATACGGGGAAGGAACTGTAAGATTATTAAAAGAAAGGTCAAGGTATTCAAGCCTGGGTAGATCCCATAATTTCTCACTTATACTTCCATTTAAGTGATTGCGAGACAGGTACAAGTATTTTAGGGATGAAAACTTTTGGATCTCATCGGACAACGACCCTGTAAATTTGTTTTCTCGAGCAAACAACCCTTGTAATGTAAGTGCTGCACATCCAGACAAGTTGTGGAGAAAATCAGGAAATTTGACGACAGCAGAGTTGTTATTGAATTCCAACCGTTCCAAACTACAGAGGTTACCAAGATATTTGGGCATCCCATCTAACAAATATGTATTGATGCATATATGCTCTGTCCCCCATGAGAGTTTATATAGTCTCCACTATGAAGATGAAAGATTGTACGTGGGTGGCCTCAATTGGTGGGTACTTGTGTGGGGCATACAATACCTAATTGCCTTGAAATTAGAACCATGCTATAAGAAAAATCAAAGATGAGTACTGGAATTAATTATTTAATTACACGTTCAAAGACTTAAAAGTCTTGGCAATTTGTAGTTAATATAAATTAATATCTTTTCCCACCTTGTGATATTTTGCAATTTGTATCTATTATCAATATTTTTTCCCATCCTGAGATATTTTTTGGTATGTGATATAAGTACCAAAATGTAAAACTAATGAAATCATTCAATCAAATACAAAACTACCCATGAAAAATCAAATATGAAATGAACTTTTCTCACTTAGATTAACTAAATCAAGAACTTATATGAAGGGAACCATGTTTATCCATTTCGGATGATGTTAAGATGACGCTACACTAATAATAACTTGATTAAAAACACATTAGATTATATTTAATTCAATTACATAATTTGAAAATTAAGCAAAAAGAGTTCATGGCCAAATAGTGACAATTAAACCTTATATAACTAACAAAACCACACAAGTTAAATCTTAGAGTTACTCTGGTCTCCTCATTTTGATATTGAGAGGAGTTTCCTTATATGACCTGACCTTTTCAGCAGCCCTCCGCGATGGTCTACCAACAAACAACATTCTTTGTGATTGTTTGCCATCTTTTTGGTCAACTGAAGTTTGACCATCATCTTCATCCATCTTAACATCTTCAATCTCAAACAACTTTTCATCTTCTTCTGATCTGAATCTAGCTGTCTGCCTTCTAACACAACACCTGAAACAAAAAATATATATATATATATATATATATATATATATATATATATATATATATATATATATATATATATATATATATATAATTTTCAACTTTTTACTCACTATATATCAACCCCTCCTTTCATTTTTTGACTTTGCATCACACGATTTTAGTCATTCAAGAGTTTTCTCTTGCAATTTTGATCTTTATTTGAGGTTGTTATAGCGTTTTTAGTTCCTATACCGAGTAAAATAACTATTTTTGGGACCAAAATTGCAAAAATCATTTATACTTAGGGACCAAAAATTCTTATTAAGAACCTCAAATAACAACCAAAATTGCGAAATCGGCTTTACTCAAGGACTAAAACTGTAATTTACTCTTTTTTTAAAACTTTCTACGCTCCCAAGAAGTATTGGATAAAGATTTCACAGTTAAATTTGAAACAATATCGAGTAATATGTCTCATCTATTAGGAGAATTCAAAAATAATGGTATTGTACAATTATTACCTTTTATGCCACAAATGCTGCAAAGGAGCAAGAAAATCATACTTTGCCACACCCTCATAAAAAGGATTAACTATATATAATTAATAACAAAAGGGCTTTTGGCCCTGGTATCAGGTGGTGCCCTTTCTCTTTCAGGTTGAGGTTAAAGTCCCGTCGTAGACATAGAAATTAGGTGTTAGCTTAGGATTAGATTAGATTTGTCGGTTCAAAAAAAAAAAAAAAAAAAACTATATATAATTAATAAAATATTAAATTACAAGAATGGTCCCTAATCTTTCCCAAAGGTTGTAATATTGATCGTATAGAGTGAAAGCTTCCTAAAAATGTCCCTAAAGTTGGTTACTGTTTCAGAAATCGTCCCCCCTCCTTAAAGCCATTTCAGGCATCTTTCAGCATAAGTTAAACCCCCCATATACAAATAAAAGAAAGTAAGTTGCTATTTATTGTGTTTATCTCAACAACATTAAGTTTAAAAAATATCAAAAATAAAATGATGTATATCTTTCACCTTTTTATTTATGTTTTCTTTTTTCCGAAAAACCAAAAGTTTTTAATAAAAAAACTAGCAAGGAGAGAACTGCAGAGAGTAATACAAAAGATTAAGATTGGCTCTTTTAGCTTATTATTTATTACAAAGAGACGAAAACCACGAATAACTAATTTCCGTAACAGAATCAAATACATTCCAAACGCATCACCTTCTCTAAAGACTATGTCACCGTACATCCAAAGTAGTTAGATAACAGTATGTCGAAACATTTGCTATCCTTTAGGAGTTAAAAATAACATTTTTCTAGTTTACTTAAAAAAAGTATTTATCGAGCATAAACCTTTCTTAGAAATCCTCCAAAACCTTGTATCGACAACAAATTGAAGAACTGATAGATGGAAACAACATTTTTTTTAAGGAAAAAAAACGGTATTAAAACCCGTGTCAAATTTATTGATATGTTGAACTTAAAACCCCCTCAAATTACATTATATACCGAAATTAAAAGCCAAAAATAAAAATTAGATGAAAACTACATCTGTCTAGGCTTTTGTAAATTTGAAATGAATGCCACTACCTTCTCATAAACCCTGTCTTTGAAGTTATCATAACAATGAAAAAAAGCATGTCTTCCACGACGATTGACAAGTAAAGCGCCACATGCTATCCAAAATCCAGTAGCAAAACCGGTCCCCCCACCAATATAAAACCATCCCCAAATTTCATCTCCACCTTCCCCATCACCCACACTTTCACCAACGACGGGTGGCACTTTTAAATCTTCATCCTCAGGACATTTTTTGTTAAGAGGAGGTCCACATAGTCCTGCATTTCCATCGTATCTTGAAGGTTCAAAGGACTGGAGCTGTGTGCTAGATGGGATTCGCCCCGTCAAGTTATTAAATGACATGTCTAGGTAATTCAGTAAGCTCATCTGAGACATGCTTGATGGTATCTGCCCTGAAAAACTGTTTCTGGATAAATCCAAAGTCAAAAGCTTTTTCATCTCACCAATTTTCTGTGGAATATCTCCAAATAGATCGTTGTTTGACAAGTTTAGAGAAATCAAGTCATGAAGATTGGTAATTTCGTATGGGAATTGTCCTGCTAAATTGTTGCTTGAAAGGTCAATGCTCTTCACCAATTTTAGAGTGTTAAAGAATTCACGTTCATCTCCTTGCCACCTAATCATCGCATTGTCAACATATGTCGTCCAAACATATGTTTGACCTCCTTCAGTTCTATATACCTTTATATCTTGTGAGAATCCTTGTAGAACCATGCTCGTAAGATTACTCAAACACGAGGGTATGGTTCCATAGAGATTGTTCATTGACAAGTCTAGAATTTGAAGATTTGCTAATTGACATAATTTTGAAGGGATGGTTCCAATGAAGTTGTTTGATCTTAGGATAAGAACATACAATCCTGTTAAGTTTTCCCCAATCCAGACAGGCACATTACCAGAGAACTTGTTGGCTCCCAAATTCAACGAGTTTAAACTCGTGCAATTCTTTAAAGACAAAGGCAATTCGCCAGATAATTCATTCTTGTATAAATGCAATACCTTGAGATTGATCAGATATTCAACAGAGGGAGGAAGCCTTCCAAAGAGATTGTTGTGCCCCAGATTAACAATTTTTAGTTGTTTGAAATGCCACAAACAGTCGGGGAGTTGTCCAGTTAATGAGTTATGAGAGAGGTCAAGAAATGACAAGAACCCACCAACAATTTGGCATATAAACGAGACTCCCCCAGAAAACTTGTTTCTGGAAAGATCTAATGATGCCAAAGTGGAAGCAACATCCGGTATTGGGCCATGAAAGCTGTTGGAACTCAAATCTATCACAGAAAGGTTGGCAAAATTTGATAATAAATCTGGTACTTTCCCGCTAATGTTGTTGGAAGAGAGATTCAGATATTCTAATTGAGAAGGCCATGTGGCCCAAAACTCGAGAGGAGTTGTGTCTGAAATTCCAGTATTGGAAAGATCAAGAAAGGTAAGATTTTTGACTGTCTGAATCCATTTAGGGAAGTGAGGCCCTACCTTGCAAGACCTCATCAGGATAGACTGTACATAAGAGATTTTTGACAAATGATATGTGGAAGGAACTGTAAGATTATTAAAGGAAATGTCAAGAGTTTGAAGCCTGGGTAGTTCCCACAGTTTCTGACTTATACTTCCATTTAAGTGATTATCAGATAGGTACAGAGATTCTAGGGATGCAAACTTCTGGATCTCATCGGACAGTGACCCTGTAAATTGGCTACCTCGAGCAATCAACATTTGTAATGTAAAGGACGTGCATCCAGACAAGTTGTTGAGAAAATCAGGAAATCTGACAACAGCAGAGTTGTTAAAGAAGTACAAACGTTCCAAACTACAGAGGTTCCCAAGGTATTTGGGTATCCCATCTAACATGTTTCCAGAGAGAAGAAGAGAACTAAGCTTATTGCTGGTTAATGGAAGCAACCAGCGATACATGGATGAGTTCAGATTGTTGTTTGTAAGAAAAAGATATTCAATAGATGAAGAAGAGTTGAGGAAAGAAGAATATGGATACATGACCTCTGACAGCTCACATCTCTCTAAACTTAAACTCAACAGTTTTGGGAGACTCGAAATTACACCTACCCAATTATTTGCATTCGCAAGGGAAATCCCATCCATTCTCAGATCCTCCAAATGAGAGAGATGAGACAACCACTCCATGTTTTCAACTCTACAACTTCCAGCAGAATCAAGATAAAGGTATTGCAAGTTGGTGAGGTTTCCAAACTGTGAAGGAATGGTTCCATAAAGAGAGTTACTGGAAAGAGAAAAAGACCTTAACTGGGTCAAGTAACCAATGGACCTGGGAATAGCTCCATGAAAAGAATTGTAGGAAAGGGAAAGGTACCTTAATCGAGTCAAAGAACCAATGAAAGTGGGAATGATTCCATGAAAAGAATTGTCAGAAAGATCAAGAAGATTCAAGTAGGTTAAGTTAAGCAAGGAATGGCTAATCTCACCTCCAAGACCACCCTGTGAAAAGAAGTTGTTGAGTTCAAGCTTTGTGACATGACCAGTTTGGTTGTTGCACTTGACTCCACTCCATTTACAGCAGTCATGTTGGTCAGATCTCCATGTAGAGAGAGTATCAGAGGGGTCATGAAGGGGAGCTTTGAAAAGAAGGAGAGCAAGTCTCTCATTATCCAAACACTTTTTCATATTAACACGATTTCTATCATATCTTCCTTCTCCCACTGCTACCAATTGGCTGGTAGTTGCAGTCACAAGGAGTAGCAAGAGAAGTGAGAAAATTATAAAAACACAAGGATTCATAATGTAGATCAAAACGAAAATCTTGGGATTTTTGGTTTGTAATGATGCCTGCCTATATGAACTACAGCCGTGAGTGTTTATATAGTCTCGACTGTTAGCATAAATGATTCTAAACGGGTGGTCTTGAATTAATTGTGCCGGGGATACAATATTTAATTTCCATGAAATTAGAACCAAACTATAAGAAAAAATCAAAGATGAAGATTTGAAATAAACTTCCCCTAACTAGGCATTCAAAGACTTGCAGGTCTTGACAATTTGCATATATTTCAATATCTTATCCGATCTTTGTGATATTTTCAAAGACTTTAAAGTGATGTTGACCATAACCTTTACAAACAAATAAGAATGTAAACGCAAACATTAAATTGACCCCAATTTAACAACTATTATTCATAAATCTCGTATTCCCACTCCATTGTTAAACAAATTATGTTTAAGCTATCCTAAGAGAATTTTTATGAAACCAATTAGAAAAGTTTTAGCATAAACATATATCTAATTTATCATATCAATTCAAAATTTTCGAATAGAAACAGAAACATAAACCCACTATTCAACAGAAAAGGAAAAAAAAAGTCAAACAAAATTCAAAAGAAACGTCATTCAACAGAAAAAATAGAGAACAGGGATGAAGAGAAGAAATGTGTTGAGTTCTAGTGATGGCCAATAACTTACCTGACGGAAAACAAAGAAGATGACAACGGTAGGCGGCCTCTTCGACGACAGTGGGCCTCTTCGACGACAGTGGGGAGGTATAACCGTACAAGCGACGAGTTTGGAGTTCCAATATATTTTATGGAATTATTCATGAAAACATTATTATATTTATATATTGGTTTTGTATATATCAACGTGATAGATATTTTTATATTATATCATAGCGTTTTTGACACTGTAGCACATCAATGTTTGGTAAATTTATATATTTAGTCACTAACGTTTTTTTTGTGCTCAATTGATCCTTAATGTTAGTAAATACTGGCTAATTAAAGGAATGAGAGAAAATGTTACCGGTTTAGGGGTCACTGCTGACGTGTATTGGCTTATGTGGAAAACCATTTGACCATGTCATCTTATAATGTGGAAACCTTCCTTAAATGAACCCTCATTCGAACCATCAACGATACATTGTTACCCCAAATTAGGTTAGTGCCTCCCTCATGATACTCTACACTCAATCGATATAACCAGAGCAATGTTTGCCTCCTCTAGTCGATCGATCAACCTCCTGCGTCTCAGAAACCTTCGTGATGATGAACCTTGTCCATCTTGTGATTGTAAAGACGCAATAAGCGTGGAAATGACTGTTGTACTGACGACAATGTAGCTCGAAGGTTTTGTGATACGAAATGAGTATTGCTGGGCCAAATACCATTTAAGCAAGAATTTTATAGGTTTTGTTTGGAAGGCCAGTAAAGGGAAAAACAGGAAATTCACCTAGGTGGGCTAGGATTATAATAAATAGAGAGAAAGGTCACAGTAGAGGGATGTCTAGAAATTTGATAGTGTAATACTTTGTATTGGCTCTTAAGCTTTCGGCTTAGAGAGAGGGAGATTCCTTGGGAAATCTTTTAGATCGTGTTAATCGTGTAATCAATTAGTCAATTTCATCATCTTCTTTCTTTTCAATCTTTCTCTATTTGATCCTATTTCATCAAACCCTAACTTCTGTTCTTCATCATTGGTATGACCTGCCGTGCCACATTCTACCATATGAGGAGGATGGTTCAACCAACAGTTGAGACACGATCTCAGGATTTCCGTATAGATGAACATGCGGAACAGATTATGAAGATTAACGTTCATCTCAGTGAGATTCAAGATACTATGAATGAGATTCGCACAATATAGGATCGTGAACGAGAAGAAGAACGTGAATTCCAAAAAGAAATGCTGACTTCGATGAAGCAACAGGATCATGAGTTTTCCTCTGATATTAGCACTTTTCCGGATTTGATCGTGAAGTTACTAGAACCGGTGGTTGAGGATGCTTCTAGGGATACTACGTATGGCATGGTTAGCAGTTTACAATCTGCGCTTGACAATCAGATGTGTTCTGTTGGTACTACTCATTCACGTGATGTTGCAGTTGCACCGAGGGTCGTCCTGTTGATTCCTTAATGTTGAAGAGAATTATAGAGAGAAGAATGATGAACTGTTTGAATGTCATTACTGAATTCATTGAAAGAAAATTTATAGCTATCAAACGTATATAAATGAACAACTCTCAAAACAGAAAAACTAACTAACTAATTGTCTAACTGAATAACTAACTTAGATGACGTGTTTGTACTAGTCTGATGTGGTAATCCGTGTGTAGCTTTCATAATTAACAACATCCTCCCTCAAGTTGGAGGTTGAGAAACTCCCAACTTGCTTAAAAGTCTGTAATGATCTTTACTTGACAAATTTTTAATAAACATATCAGCTAATTGCATTTGATTTGGCACATATTGTAAAGAAATTAATCCATCTTGAAGTTTCTCCCTCACAAAATGACAATCTAACTCCACGTGTTTGGTTCGCTCATGAAAGATGGGATTTTTAGCAATGTAAATAGCCGCTTGGTTATCACATTTGACAGGAATTGGAGTGACATTGGGAACATTCATTTCATGCAGAATTCTTGATAACCATGCCAACACAGCAGTAACCGTCCTCATACTCCGGTACTCTGCTTGAGCAGAGGACAAGGACACTGTAATTTGCTTCTTAGACTTCCAAAAGATCGGGCTTCCACCAAGTAAAATAAAAAAACCCACTAATACTCCTTCTTGATTGGGGACAAGCAGCCCAATCAGAATCACAAAAAGCTTGTAGATTGAAATCGTCCTTGTTATTAAAAAATAGACCTTGATTAGGATCATTATTGATGTATTTTAGAGTATGCATTGCAGCCTCAAAATGTGGTAATCTGGGATTCGACATAAACTGGCTAAGATGTTGCACAGTAAATGCTAAATCAGGTCGTGCATGAGTGAGGAAATTGAGTTTACCCACAAGACGACGATAAACTTCAGGATTGGGTAAAGGTTCCCCCCTTATTTATTAAGAGTTTGAGATTTGATGGAAGAGGACAAATAGATTCCCAGAACATTTGAATTCCTTCAAAACATCACTAGAAAATTTTCTCTGTGTCAAAATTACTCCTCAAGAAGAATAAAGAATCTCAATTCCTAAAAAAAATTAAGGTGTCCTAAGTCTTTGATCCTGAATTGAGAATCAAGGAAAGCTTTTAAACGACTTATTTCTTCTTCATTATTTCCTGTAACCATGATGTCGTCAACATATACAGATACAAACGTGACATAAGATACCATTGTTTTATGAAACAAAGAATAATCGTCTTTGGAGTGTTGATACCCTTTATTTTTCGAAGTTGATGACAATTTAGAGTACCATTGACGTGAGGCTTGCTTGAGACCATATAACGACTTTTCAACTTACAAACTTGATTTTTGTTCTGTAAAATAAGACCAGGTGGAGGTTTCATGTAAATTTTTTCTTCCAAGTCCCCGTGCAGGAAGGCATTGTTAACATCTAATTGATGCATGTTCCAACCCTTTTTGACAGCAGTGGCAATAAGATCACAAATTGTTGTCAATTTAACAACAGGGGAATCTGTTTCCATGTAGTCAATTCCAGCCTTTTGGGTATAACCCTTTACAACTAATCTCCCTTTGCATCGTTCCACTTGCCCATCTGCTCTATATTTGATCTTATAAACCCATTTACAACTAATGAGTTTCTTTCCTTTTGGTAAATCTGTGATGATCCAGGTATTATTTGCAATTAAAGCCTCAAATTCTTTATCCATGGCTTTTTTCCATTCTGGAATATTGACGGCCTCTTCATAAGATGAACGTTCATGTAATTGATCAAGATTCTTCATTAACTGCTTACTTTGATCAGACAAGGTTGAAAAACAAACATGATTATTGGAGGGCATTGAAGTCATAGTATGCATACATGAGGATAAATTTGTACAATGATAATCTTGTAAGTATCCAGGAGGTTTAGGTACTCTTGATGTTCTTCTAAGATTAGATTGTTGTTGTTGTGATGAATTGGGTAATGGAACAAAATTTGGATCAGGGGCAAAATTGGTAAATGGGACAGAATTATGTGAAGTTGTACTTGGTGGAAAATGAGGTGAAGGATTTGAAGATGGAAAAGAAGAAAGGAAAGGTGAGGATTGATTATCATTGAAATCCAATATTTATTGAACAGGAAACATTGGAATGTTAATTTGGTTGCATAGAATGGAATGGAAAGATGTTTTCATGGAAATATACATCTCTGGAAGCAACCTTTTTAGCGTCTAGATTGTAGAGTTTGTATGCTTTCTTTCCAAATGGGCAGCCTATAAAGACATAGGGAGAGGCACGAGGGGTAAATTTGTCCCGATTTTCTTTAAGGGTATTCATGAAGCATACACACCCAAATGCTTTCAGATGAGAGTGATAATTCCACACCATTTAATCGAAAAAATGGTGTTTCACCATTTCAAAATTTTGTAGGGAATCTATTTATAAGATATGTTGCTGTTAGAACACATTCTCCCCAGAAAATGGTAGGAAGATTTGATTGAAACAACAAGGCTTGAGAAGTTTCCAGTAGATGTTTATGTTTGCGTTCAACCACCCCATTTTGTTGGGGTGTACTTCTAGAGCTGGTTTGATGCATGATGCCCTTTTGTTGAAGAAAGATTGTTGCTTCTTTGCTGGATCCAAGTTCGAATGCATTATCAGACCGAATAGTCTGAATTCTTTTTCCAAATTGAGTCTCAACCATGGCAATGAAACCTTTTATGAATTGAAAGACACTACTCTTTGTGCTTAGAAGATGTTTCCATGTGGAACGAGTAAAATCGTCAACGATTGTTAGAAAATAAGAGTAACCATCATATGTTTTGGTGTTGTAAGGACCCCAAGTGTCAATGTGGATAAGCTCAAATGGAGATTTGGTATGAATATTACTTTGATGAAAAGGTAGCT